CCATCATTCCGGAAAAAAAAGAAGAATAAGGAAAACTCACTTGGCGCACGTACTGTGCACATTGACCTTGGAGGGGAGGGTGGCACACCGGTATATTTTTTTCCATCCTAGTTTTTTTCTTTGCTTTTTCTTTTGAATTTTCGCAATCGTGTCGCACCCTGCGAGTCCTGCTAATTCCGTTCAACTACCCTCCAAACTCCTGTGAAGCTTGGCGAAAGAGTGCTAGCGTCATTGTGAGGTCATTTCTTCATTTTTCCCAAATCTTGACCAGCCGCTTTGACAAGTCTTAACTTGAGTTCACAAAGGTTCTTGACGGGTGATGACAAGGCTTACAGGGTGTCGACAAGGTTGTTCGGTGTTCACGTTTACACAGTTTATAGGATCAGTTAAGCTGACAAGTTACGGGTGTGCCCCTTCCAAGATTATCAACTCTCTTTGCTGGGGGAAGCGTACATCACTTTGAAGAATAAGTGGCTCTCTACCTCATGAGCTAATTAGTCATCTAGCCATCTAGACCTTCGAAGTTGTGTTATTGCACTGCAAATGTAATCAGTTGCATAACAAGTCTTATTGAATCCGCCCCTCAAAGACGAACGTGGACAGTGATGTTCGATTACAAACCTGGAATCGCTCAATGGCTCGCACGGGAATAAAAACAAAAAAAATCAGGAGGAACACCCCAAGGACCACCCATTAGGACCTGATACCTCTTTGGGCAAATTTTCCGAACCTGCTAGTTTTATGCCAGCAACGTGATTTTCCGCCTCTGGCTCACTAATCGCTTCTTCGCGTCATCCAGTGGTAGTACCTTCTAAACGGAAAACGCGGTCTAAAAGGTGAACTCGTGGCAAAAAAGAACCCTTCCATTTCGGTGAGCATGACATCTAGGGAGCTGTCAGAATTGTCTCTTATAAGGCCACAGCCCATCGTTACTAACTGCAAAGCCGGGAAAACGGAAATGTGATAATCTACGAGACTGAGGACCAGATTGCATGTACAAGGAAGGACCCCCACGAATCGCTTGAACGCGGGTACTGTCCTTCGAGGAGGACTGTTCCCTCACATTAGTTCGAGCATAACCGGAACACCGAGCATAGATCAATGGCTCCGAAGATTTCCGATTTTCAGTCTTTACTACTCGCGCTTCGAACTTCTTCTGCACCTGTAGAAAAAAATACATCCGGGAGTTACAGGTGTCACGGGAGCTGGTGGCCATCTGACTGTGGTGTTGCAAATCCCATCCCTCCGTGCGCATCCTCTGGGCAATGCGCCTGTTACTATGGTACTATTTGAGCAATTGAAAGTTGCGGTGTAAACAATTCTTGAGCATGCACTAGTGTGTACCGGAAGAGGTATACGTAGCCGTATAGTAGGGGTGCCGAGCGAGAAAGGAAGAAGCTTCGCTGAACGCCTTGGCCATCGTTCACGTAACATGGGGGGAAAAGTAGAGAGAAGACCCAAGGTTTCGCGGTTTGGCGAAAGGCGGGGGTGGGCGGGGGTATTTTGCATTTTGGTACTTCTTGTCGACGTGTCGAGCCATCCAGAGAGCTATTTCATGAGCGTACAAGTGCTGACAAGCATGGTGGCTAGATGAGCCTGCTCTGGCTTCACAGGAGTTCCTACCAGAGTAAGATATGCAAACCGGAACTAGTAGAGCAGTGGAAGTGCAGATGCTCCGTTACCAAACTACCTCCCCCCCAAGGTCAACCATCCATAAGTAAGGAGCCCTCCACCATCACGTGGTTCCATGCCTGCAAGAAGATGGGGCCATCTGTCATCGCCGTCAACCTCTACACGGGTCTACCATCAGGTGCAGCCATCGTATGGTAGCCTGAACCCCATCGCGAGTGGGGGGGGTCAGCAGCTGGACTGGGTAGTGGGAAGTCCCTTACTGCCCACTTTACACCATCAGCGTGTACTGTACACTGCTTACAATTTGCACGCCGGTTTTTTTGCGAGTTTCACGCGCTCTCCGTCATACAGCAAACAGACTTTATGATTTAGAGCCGCCAAAGGGAATACTATTTGAACACTCGGAAATGCCTTCAGATAAAAAGCGTACCTTTTTCTTTTGTCGTTAAGCTGATCCATTAGATTATGGATATGGAGAATTGACGCTTCCGCTATTAGTCATAGAAATCAATCCATTAACTAAACCCAACTTCGCCAGTCAGCCCGAAATTCAATGCTTCTTCGTATGCTTTGCTGTCGAAGCATTGACCGCGAAAACGGCTGGAAGAGCATTGGGGTTGAACTTGGTTGGTATGGCAAGTTCACGGCATGCGCAAGTCTGGAAACCGATTCCTTAATAAGGTTGAGAAATACAGCTGATCAAGGTACTGCAGACTTGTTTTTTCTTTTTTCCCTAAGTTTCGTGCTTTTATTGCAGTAGCCGCCCTCAGCCAATCATAGACGACTGCTTTTGGTGAGGAGGGGTCGTCGATGCCACATGGCGCAATCGTTGGACAGATGGCCGAAATAGCCGAGGGAAGAGCCACAACGAAATGCTGAGCTTTGCGAAATTCCTAGACGCTTTCTTGTGTCGTGCTTAGACTCTCGCGGCGTAAAGCGCAGCGGGTCTCGCTTGTAGTGGTGAGACAATGTCATGAGCGCAGTCTTTCGATTAGTAAGCGTGGCACAGACGCACTTGATTTCGAATGATCAAATGACGACGGTCCGCCTATAGCTTAAAATAACTTACCACCCTGTGACGCCACGCGGAGAAAAAGAGGCCTTCCAGACTCGCCCATGAGGGGAACAGCCCAGCAGAATTTCGCTCGCGGCTGATACACGGGACGCCTACCACATTGCGCTTCAACTTTAGAGGCCCCTACACAAATAAGGCCAGAAAAATATTCCATGGCCTCAATTACCTCACTTTAGTATTAATTTATCCGCGCCTAAGTGAATTGAGCCTCTCTTCCCGTAATCCTTCCCCGAAGGTGCGCTTAGACTTCATGACCCAACAACCTTGTCCCTTTTTTAGGGGAAACCGTATTGATTTGCCGTGGCAGTTTGATCGCGAGAGCTCTCGTCCAGCTCCATGGGTGCGACCATTCGAGCACGGTTATGATCCTGCATTTTGTTCGGGTTTCGATATCCGAGTTCATCAAATATACAAGTCCACAATTGGGAAGTGACCAGAAATCGCACGCTCGGAATAGAACCTCCATGAAAATGCGGAGAGCTGCCATTGGCCCCCGCATTTTCTTTTGCGTAGCAGTGAGTAAACTACGCCTCGTTGCACGGTGCCCAGCTCATTGTATTATCGGGACCCTTGAACCCTTAGTGCATGTTGTTCCTGCCCCTGCGAAGCGCACTGGAGCAATCGCGAAAGATCACGAACAGCTACGAATTTTTGATATTGGGTCTGCGGGTCGAAAAGCTGGCTGGTGCCCCAGGCCGGTAACTCAGAGGCAATACCTGAGGCTCAGAGGCACTTCGAAAGCTGCAAATCTTGTCGACGGCAGAGCAGGGGATGAGCCTTTTAGGGGGGAGGGGACTTCGAGCTGGATGTGTCATTTAGCATGATGAAAAGTTGGAATATATAAGGTCACGGTGGTATTACGCTCCAGTTCAGTGTGGGCGGCTGGGCGTGTCAGGCAGTATGAGTGTGTCACGCCGTCAAAGCCGTTCTCTGCCTTTTGTTGAAGCGCGCATGCGAAAAAGTGGTAGAAAACGAGTAATACGAACGATATGATAATTTGCTCGCTTTAACAACTGGTGGAGAACGGTTTTGGCACCGCGCCAAACTCATCCCGCCTGACACGCCCAACCGTCCGCAGCGAACTACACTATAGAATCCCATGCGATCTCGAGAGCGTAAAGAAAAACAGAAACTTACCGCGATCGAAAGAATTAAGTTCAAGTTTTCCGTAGTCAGTGTAACTAACACATCTGAGCCGTGGCAGTAAAATCAATCTATCCTGACCACTTGACTCAACTTCCCGTTGGGCTAGGTAGTGACCGCCTCCCATGTGCCATTGCTTTACACAAATGCTACTAGGCGCGACCACGTACACCAAAAAGCTACGCGAAATTACGTCATGATATATTGCCTGATGGAATGTAGCATGGAACGCAAGCACTATCGCTGGGTAGCTACTAGGAACTCGCCCCAGTTATAAACAAAACTAGGCACAAAGGTACGCAGTGAGGTAAGGCAGTTCAAACTTCGCGTAGACTAACTGTGACGCGTTGTAAGGCGCTCGGACGCGCTACATTTGCAACAGCGCTGCAATACCGTGGACGCAGACGACGACCGGAAGAGAATCAACGCCGGGCCATTGGGGCCGTTGATTGACACTGCATGATTGAGCAATGCTTCTTATTCGCTCTATACATGAGCGTGCCGTGCCGATCGATTCCCTGCTCAATCGTGCAGTGTCGATCGGCACCGGCGTCGATGCTGCGTCCGCATCTGAAGCCTTGGAGCGCTGTTGCGACCGCAGAGCGTTACAGAACATTGACGCGCGTCGTCGCGATGTCTGTACGGTGTCCCAAGTTACGATAGCCTCGCTGCCTGACAAGGTCTATATGATGAGTTGAGTGAACTAATTAGGATGGGCTGATTGGCCTGAGGTGCCGGCCTCGGACTCGGATGTTATAGATTACACCGCGCCATGTACGCAGTGAATTTGATGAGGGAGGACATAAAAGAAACGTGCCAAGCCCTCTCATCTTTTCGAGTCACACATATTAGTATTCTTCGATTGTTAAAATGATTTTTCGAAGGTGAGTCATAGCTCGCATTCCCAACTGACGTTATATGGTACCGGAATAAAAATTTCGAAGCAAATGTTTCCTCGCCAGGTTATCTATATGCGAACGTCATGGTGTGCTATTCAGAATGAATCGCTGGGATGGACCGCAGTGGGGACAGGAGAACCCCTGGCCTCAGGAGAATCGCATGTTTGAGCCTTTCCAAGATGCGCCTGAAGAGGAACCTCAAATGAGGATCACACATCATTTCGACAAGGTTAGACGACATTGTCAAAATTATATCAGCACTCATTTAGAAATGTTGTAATGGAAACTGCTCCCTGTAGATGCGACTGTTGACTGTCAATTTGTTAATGTTACGGCCAGTCCTTGGATTGTTGTAGAGAACCCCTACATTTCTCGAAAAGTCTGGCCGTCAAAATGAAATTCTGCTAAGTCTGGTTCCCTTCAGGACAGCCAAACCCCTCAACGAGTTGTGACCGAGCTGTTTGGAAACACATCACCTGAAGTTATTGGACACATACTTGGACAGAAGAACGTGAGCTCACATTTTCTACTCTCGTTTAGCTCTAAAAATAGCATCGGCTATCCTATCAAAACTAAGTGTAATTCGAGAGTTGTAAGTATTTTGGACAAGTGCCGTCCCTTATACATGCACATGTTCGAATCAATTCGAGATCAAACTACCATCGGCCGACCTCTTAGTCAACCGTTACATACAATTCGATTGTGAACATGGAGAGGCAATAGTGTGGAGTAACGTTTGAGCTGACCTTATAATTCCGCATTTCGCAACTCGGCATACTTGCCAGTGGGATACCACGCTCAATTGCTTACGCTCGAGTGGTGACGACTCATCACACCCTACAGGAGAATAACGAGATATGGAATGAATAAAAAAAAACTTCATTACTTAGTTTATTAAAGCACCAGTTTGGCTGGCGCACACTACTGCGCGCCTGGCGTGATAAAACAATGCGAAATGATTACCATAGTGAATCACGATTAATGCTAAGTTTTTTTCTTTCTCGTATAATTATCGTTGATTCTTTTCTTGATTGTGCTGTAGACCTCACGTGAACAACCCTTCCCCCTCCCGTTGGACGTGCAGTAAAACAATAGGTACTGTCTACATTCCATGATCGACTCTCCATTAATCTCGGCATGATGACAGCAATATTCACAGAATTTATTTAGCAATCCGAGATTGTTATAAGTCCTTTACCAGACTGACGTTTCGGCAGTATTGCCTTCTTCGGAGCCTGCAAATCAAAACCTATTTTCGAAACAATTCGCCCTAGTCCCATTTCAGATAGCATAGTGAAGCTCAAGGTAAAGCAGTCTATGAAAATATCGTGAACAGAGGCTAACCCTTTTGAGGGAATGGCAAGCTACTGTCTACTTAGATGATGATAGTGGTAAAAAATTAGGTGAAAATGATAGTGGTAAAAGATGATAGTGGTGAAAAAATTAGGTGAAAATAAGCTCTTACCTCTTATTTACGCCTATCATTGATATAATCCCTTGTCACCCGTGATCCATTACCACAAAATCTTTGATTTGGTAGTGTGAAAGAGGGTAACGCCTCTTCTGGGACCCCGTCACATCCACCATATCACTATATTGGAACCAACTTCCTACTGATACTGTGACGGGCGACGCTTGAGTTTCAGATCCCCTTATCAGATCATAATAATTCTTAATGCGTCCTGCCACCCATAAATGATATTCATGACCCATACACTACATCATGTCTTAGAACTAAACGTCCCACCGATGCTGAAACCCACGTTATGAACTTGGTGACCTTCACCTAACACCCATTATCATCCCTTGTCAGCTAATATCACTTCCTGCCACCCACCAATGAAGTTCATATCCAGCCCCCTATGTCACTTCTTGGAATCAACGCTCCACCGCTGCAGCGCTTGGTGACCCTCCCTTTTTAAGACCCCATGTCAGCTGTTATCACTTCCTGCCACCCATCATCCATGTTCCCGTCTTCCCCCTCCCCCCCCCCTCCCCACATATCAATATCACTTACCAATTCGAACTCTCACTGCTAAATCAGAGGAATTCA